ATGCAGCATGCAGCATGCAACATGCAGCATGCAACATGCAGCATGCAACATGCAAAATGCAGCCTGCTTGAGTCCTGGCATTTATGTAGGTGTTCCATTAAGATTTACCACTCAACTCAATAGAGTCAAAATACAGAGCAGCGTTAGATTAACTGTTAGAACTGCATGCCAAATATGTCAAGACATTAACCTGTCTACAAAACTTCCCATACTTCAATTTGATCAATAAATACTGCAGAGTTAGGCATCACTGAACTACTTATTTTCCCACCCTAATATAAGAAATATTAAAGGAGCACACTGGGCATCATCCCAACATTAAGTTGCTTGTTTCAATGTGGTAGATGATCTGTGTGTACACAGCATCTCACGTGAGAAAAAAATAATGTTGACTTATTGCAAAGGCTTTATGCAGCACACTGCACCATTGCAACCACATTACAAATGTTTTATTTTTTATTTTTTTCTCTGTTGTATCAGGTCTTATCTGCAGCAACAATTGTAGCCAAGCACACCTCGGCTCTCTGCAACGCATGTCGTCTTGCTTCTTCTAAAACCTCCAACCCCGTGGCCAGGAGGCAGTTTGTCCAGTCGGCCAAAGAGGTGGCCAACACCACCGCCAACCTCGTCAAAACCATCAAGGTCAACTCCCCAACTGATCAAAACGTTGAGTGTTACGAAAATTTCTTCTTTTTTGATCAAAATGCAGATGCCCCATGTAATATTTCCTTCAAAAGTAAAGCCAAAAGGAACAAACATCTTTTCATGGGACATTGTCTTTGTTCAGATGCTAGATGGGGATTTTTCTGACGAGAACAGAAACAAGTGTCGGGCTGCTACAACTCCTCTCCTCGAGGCTGTAGAAAACCTGTCAACCTTTGCCAACAACCCCGACTTTGCAAGCATCCCACCTCAGATCAGTAATGAGGTATTTACACATTATGATCATTTTTTTGAAGCAAAACCCATTCTTTGTGATGGTGTATTTTAGTTTCTAAGCATTTAACTGGACAAAAAGGAAAAATTTTATGGTAATAAATGTTCTCAAAGAAATGCAATGTGTAAGTAGCTTTCTCTTATTTTGAAAAAGACCTTATGGTTACTTAAAAAAATGCTTTTTTAAATTTCTTTTCAAATAAGCTTTAAGATTATTATTATTTTATTTTATTTAGTTAGTTAGTTTTCAGTCTCGGCTTGCCTGGGCCTTGGACTGCTTCATGGCTGTAATCTGTTGGAGGGCAGTGTTTAACGGCACTTGCGCTCCTTACAGCTGCTGTAATCTTCAGCTTGTTAATCTAATTGCCAAGGGAGGTTTTGCCTCGTATCATAAAGATTGAAGGTGTTACTTTCTACGTCTGTGTAAAGCTGCCTTTCTAATCTCATCCCTTTGTTTGATTGCACTTTTGATCTCTCCACAGCAGTCAAAGAATATTAACAACTCTGTCAGACCAACATGGCTGTTCAGCTGCTACCTTGCGCTGTTGTTTCACCTACACTAATCTTTTCATTTCCCCCAGGGCTCAGCAGCTCAGGAGCCTATTGTGCGTTCAGCTCGCTGTATGCTCGACAGTTCCACGTATCTTATAGAAACAGCCCGCTCACTGGTCCTCAACCCCAAAGATCCCCCCACCTGGTCCATTCTAGCCGGCCACTCCAGGACGGTCTCTGACTCTATAAAAAGTCTCATCACTTCCATAAGGTTGGTAAATCCCGCTCACAATTGTGACTGTTTCTGCACTTTCAGCTCGAGTCAAAGATTACAAAGGCATGCTCACAGTTGTGGGAAAAATAATTTCTGAAACTGGAGGGTTGATTCTGTGATGTCTGTTCAGCTTGGCAGTACATTTCAACTTCACTTTATAGTTGCCGAGCTCCTCCACAGCTTTGTAATAGATCAGTGAAGACTGAAACAGTGGTGAAATGATGAGACTGGACATGAAACATATTTCACAGCATGGTGCTACAACTGTATCAGAAGTTTAACATGCAATTCACGCATAAAACGTTAACAATGTTATATCTAATTTACTGAGGACTGATAGCTTTTTACAGGAACAGAATAGTTTGTAGATAATAGATGGATGAGGAATGTAGCACTCTGATCCATTTAGTACTAAATGTGATTTTTCTATTGTGCTGAATATCATAAGTGTAACATGGTTGTTTGGAGAAGTTTTTGCTCCTGAAATAAAAGTTTAGGTTATAGATTTGGTCAATAAATAAATAAATAAATAAATATATACATATATATATATATATATATAT